ATACAAAAGTAGCAATGCCGATATAAAAAGTATGAAAATAGCCGTTAAACCTTTTGCATAAGTTTAAAGATACACACGAAGGGACAAGGGAGAAAATGGAAAATCTTCTAGAAGAAGCTGATGACAATCTGATACGGAAGACATACAGATTAGAAAAAAAGGGAGAGAATCACACACTCTAACTAATCTTTATTCAAGAAGACTGTGCTGATAGGCAAGCAGAACAGCAGCCCAGAAGCTCTGAACCCAACTCTTTTTTTAAAAAACAGAAAAAGACTTGAATGAATCATGAGCTTATCCCCAAGATAAAAATTGATAGCAGTGACAGTGGCAAGTGAAATAATGCCAGAAAAAAAAAGGAGAAAATTCTCGTTAAGGTCACGGAAGGGCCCAGCTTTGCCAGAGTCCTAAAGAAGATGAGAACTAACTTTAAGCCAGAAGAAGCTGAGATCATAGACACAGGAGTCATTACGATTAAAAAGGGAGACCTTCTTCTTGAAGTCAAAGGAGTGAAGTACCGAGAGGCCATAGTTAGCACTATAGCTGAAACCGTAAGGCGTAAGGGCTAGGATCCGTTAAAACAGACGAGAAAAGGGTAACGCCCAAATAACGGGATCTTGATGTGATCATTAAAAAGGCTGATGTCGAACTTGTATTGAGTAGAATTCCTTATTATTTGCCACAGATGAGAACAGAGACACTGCTAAAAGTGAATAAGAGAGAGCATAAGGTAGCTTTGGTGCATATTGAAGAAATTTATACTAGAACTACAAAAGAATCACAGAGGTTGTTAATAGGCTCGACAAGCTGCCAAGTGAAGAGACGGGTTAAAGTCCTTAGATGCTATAGGTGTCAAGGGAATAGATACATAGCCTGAAATTACAACAAGGAGGACTGGTTAAAGCTATGCTGCCGATGTGACAGCTGTAATCACTGAAGGAAAGATTTCAAAGAGGAGGCCTGATATTTCACTTGCGGAATAGAAGGTGTCAAATACGGAGCAGGTAATGGCAGCTGTCCAGCATTAAGAAAGGCAATAGAAGAGGTCAAAACTACGGAGCCTACAAGACGCAGATAGAGTTGAAGAGGATGGATGCTAGACGACCGTTGCAGTCTCAATCTATACTAACGTACCTCAGCCATCAGCAAGGAGAATCAACGGGAATCGAGGTTTCGCAAAACAGCAGATGCCCAGACGAAATGAAAAAAAGGCAACATCATGAGGGTGACGACACTCCAATTAAAGTCAATGGTCAGCACTTCGTGGCTTTGGCTTGAAGTATTAACGCAAAAGCGAATTCCGAGCTGGGAGTCCCAGGAGAGAGGTCTTGCCAGTTTGGTGGGTATTCAGTAAATATTGCTTAGAACATCGTTGTGAGAAATAAGCATTTATAGGCTTACTGCGAGTCCAAGACAGATAAGGGGTTCGTACCTTCTTCTATTGTCCATCAAGGCATTCTAGACAACCTCGTTTAAAGAAAAAAAAGAACTATAAAAATATCGAAAATTATTATTGCAATTATTTATTTTTAAATTATATTTCAATATTTTGGTTATACGTAGTCGAGTGCCACTGCACAAGCCATTAAATATCCTCAAGTTTCTTATCAACATAACAATATCATATATGAGAGCGGCGTTGTCTTAGTGGTANGATCCTAAAATTTGGTTAAAATTAAAAAAAAAAAAAAAAAAAAAAAAAAAAAAAAAAAAAAAATACCGAAGCGAGACGGGTACGTCGGGTCGCGCCAGTTGAGTGTTAAACGTACACGAGTGAGCCATTTGTTTTCTTTAGCCTCGCAACTGGGAACGCGGTGCCCGAAAAAGCATTTATCCCTTTCATGGCTCTCGATGTGCATGAACGACATTAAGTGAATACTAATGATTCAGATGAAGAAAAGTATGCCGTGGACGCGAAGAAGGAGGGAAAAGACGAATTTTCTTTTCAGGTGATGTGAAAATAAAGAGCTTTAAGATGATCCACGCATATACGGGTTTCACGAGACGTCGAGTAAATATCATTTTTTTTTTTTTCGTCTCTTGGTGGGGCATCTCCCGTACAGCTGTGCAGGTAATTTGAAAAAGTTTGTGTGCGCATACAGGCATTCGCTTTTTTTTTTTTTAAATGCAGAAAATGCGTGATTGGGTGAGAGAATCATTCGCTTTTTTTTTTTTTGCTTTTTTTTCATGAAACATTTGTATCCTGCAATTGTAACTTGAAAAAAATGGTTATATATGAGCTAATATTGAGTACATACGGAATGATTTGACTTATTAAATACCTAAAGATATTATCAACACTATAAACGACTAAGTGGAGCTCTCAGTGCTCACATAGTGTGGTATTATACTCTATACATGTAAGACGCCAGCATATGTCAGCATTGTCAAAGTATTACAGCGCATCCAAGCTTATGCCATTGGATGCTTGCATATTCGAGCGTCAGCTAACGTTGGGAAGCCTAATATTTATAATTGTGTGAGTGTGGTTGCAACGGTAAAATGCTAAATTTTAGACTGAACCTGCTGGCATGCCTTGTATATCCATAAGGTGCCATGATAACTGCTGCTACCAGATCCTCTTAGGGTTGATGAGTGCCGTTACAACGATAAAAGGCAATATTCTTGAACAATCCTGGGGAACATTAGACATTACATACGTAACAAGCTTTGCGTATGGTCAGTAGTAGTGCAGGCATGTTGAACACGCAAGATAGTGTAAAGACACACAATATGTATTGTTGTCATTGTACATATCACCCACACGTAACATCAGTGACACTGGCCTACCACTTACGCGCATGTGTTGGGTTAAGTACAAATCTTGCAAAGTTATTATCTGTATAGCGTACGTAACCATACGAGATGCAAGGTCTACAAGGAAGATACCAATGCATTTTTTCAACAAGCTGCAAGATAGTCCAAAGACTTGCCTGACCAACCCCTGGTCTACGTAAATATGGGCTGGCGTTGCGTTCATGTACAAACGATTAACTGCAGTATTTGCTAGGGGAAACTTAAAATTCCATACAACGGATGCAACAGTGAAAGTACTGTAGCTGACTTATTTTTGGGTCCATAAGTTTCTTCTACACTGTGAGGAAGTACACTGAGTGCTAGCTTTAAATCAGACTTATACTTTGTAGATTTATTCTGAACTGGATAGAGCTACACATTTTTCAATTTAGCAACAAGTAAACGAAAAATTACAGTACTAATTAGAAAAAAAATGTTTGTCTGCTGTATCAGCCTAATATTGTATGTGTATCCTATTTGATAGGAAAGTAAACTTTTTCAAGAGATTCTTGTTAGTGCCTTGGTAAAACGTCATAATTTACGATTCATAGAAAAAGTTATTTGGATTTAGTTTTTTGTATGATCTTATAATATATAATTTTTTTGAAAAGAAATGAGCATATTGCCAGGTTAAATAGGGAGTCCAAAATTGTTTTAACAAATTTTGTAAATTGTTTGATTTGTCTTCCAAACATTTTTTTTGCCTCTTGAAAGGAGTGCTTTGTGTTTCAGGGACTGTCCATCCTATGATGACTTTCCCGTTACTAGTGACAGGAAAAATTTTGGCCCTACTTTGTCTTTTACATTTTGGGCACATACGTACAACAACCGTGCCCTAGAAAATAAACAAACTTCTTAGGATCCTTAGACTATTATCAAAAAAGACTTGTTGTAACTTTCCTTTAAAACTAATACGAGATCCTAATTTTGACTGTTCAAAAAAGTGTTAAAATGATAACTTTTATGTATAAAAAACAATGTGCAGAACCTTTTTTTTCCATATTCCCAAAGATCTTAAATATTCTATAGACATACTTTGACATACTCGCAAAGAGTTTTAGACTATTATTTTATTGAAATCCCGTGTTTATCACTGTTGGACAGAAATGTAGCCTACACTTTTTACTGAGCAGATGTTATACGGTATGGTTTATCTTAGGGTTATCAATAATCCAGTTTTTAACGATTGCACATAGATTTCTCTATCTATCTATCCATAGCTGTTACCTTTTTGTCCACAGATAACAGAAATCTATTTAATAGTTAAATACATGGTGATTAGTAATTAGTGTGAGGATAATAATATAAAACAGATCATCCGAAACGCATCAATTATTAAAAACTAACTTTATTAAAAAACTTTTGTTTTAATTTAATCAGTCTTTAAGTTTGTTGCAGTGAAAAAACCACATATTCTACTAAATGTGTTTGATGTTTGCCTTAAAGGGTGTATTTAGCGGGCTATAGAAGATCCAACATCTCTTCGTTTCAGATGAGGGTATAGGTCTACTCATAACCTCAGCGTTATTTTGATTTTTACGTGTGCTAGATGAGATAGATAAAATATTATGGAGAAGAATCTAAATACTAGTACGTAGAGTGGTGAGTCTATCCGAAAACCCTCATGGTCTTAGTGTTGTTAGATCAACATGCCATGCACTGTCAAAGATTCTAGATTATGTGAAACAGCTATGGCAAGCTTTTCAAAAGACAAGAAATGCTTTTATCTGGATCACTTTGACATAAGAATGATTTTGTACATTCAGAAGGTACCAACTTTTTTGAGAAGGATTCTGAACACCTATCTTTAGTACTGCCAGATGCTTTGGTACAACAGATAAAAGGGACTAAGTGAGGTAAGACTAATATCATAGATGGCACAGAGCTCTCCACTAAGCATAAATTTCCGAAACCTTACGTGCCATGGCATTAAATGATTAGAAAGGCCACGGAAATTAAGCATGTGAACTTTGTGGACAATATAGTTCTAGTCATCCCAGCATGGTCCCTGGTTTAAGCTGAGCTCAGGCTACAGTGAAAAGCCTCCAGGTTGTCAATTTGCCTAAGAGTCCATGGTTTTGAGTTTGCTGGCCGTGAAACAGAGATAATTATTCTTACCAGGCAGTGGTGGTTTTTAGTGTAATATTGGTGCAGTGGTTCACAGCCCTGCAGCTCACTTGTATACGATGTCTGCAACGATATCTTCAGTGATGCTGATGGGGATCGCTAGAGCTGTGTCCATAGTTCTGTAGTAAAAGAGGTGGCGTGAGCAGTGATAGTAGTCTTATAGCCAATTGAACGAGGCTGTAACCCCTGAAAATATCGTTGGTATCATGTTGAGTGGCATGGGTGTTAGTAGGCCTGTTGACGAGTTTGCCTAAATGGTTTTTAGCAAGAAGAAGCAAAAGAAAAGTCAGTTAGCTTCCAAACAAAACTGATGCAAGTGCACTGGGTATTAAAACTAATCAGCAAGGGTATGTATTAAGCTTTATCTTATGCTTACAAAATTTGCGGTTAATAAGAAGAGCCAGACATGGGTGCTAGTTCCCAGGGACTCTAAGTTCTATTTTAAGCTTGGGAAAGTTAGCACCTTTAGTAACCGTTAGAAACGTGGTCCCGAGATAAAACTATAGCCACAAAGCATGGGAGGTCTTAGTAAGTATCCGTTGTTCAATAAAAAAAATCTTCTAACTTTCACACTACCGTAGCCGCTGCAATATGCGATAATGCATTTCCCTTCCCACCTCAAAAAAAACTAAGAAGGCAATTGACAGTCACTTATCATAAACTTTACAGGTAATTGTTACTCTCAAGTACCCACTGTGTACCAGCTAAATACCTATCAAGTATATTTTAATACAAAGCTTACTTAGTATTTGGTATGTGGTGGTCCATTAAGTACTATATCGTTTGAAATCGATTGTCACCCGAATAGTACTTATTGTTATAGCTTATAGCCTAATACTCTTTAACATTTGTATTATCTACCATCATCGTCATGAGCAAACAATCTTCTTCGGTTGTGCTGTAGTGTCTTGTAAATTAACACGTATGGAAATTCCTTGTTTTTATAGTTGCCTTATCATAAAAATTCTATAACTTAGCAGCACCTACACTAGCAGTAGTTGTTAGTTACTTGATACAATGTGAGTACTTGAACAGTTACAAAAATAATAACATTTTTCATTCGATTAAACAATGAAGATATTACACTGGCATAGGTACCTTACAATAAACTGCTAGTTTTGGTCCACCTTTTAGTCACTAGAAATTGACACTTAGGCTACTTATTGACAAAAAGCTCGTTTCTTTGCATTTGTTCTTTTGTACTTAACCACATTCTGCGTCAGCCTGTACTACCAAAAATTGTTCTAAACGGGCCAGAATCAAATAATCTCTTTACAGTCCTCATTTAAAAATAAAGTTTTAAAAATATTTCCTAACAATGGACTTGAATTCAAAGTGCACTGCTCTATACTCATTACTGCCATTAACGAACATTTAAATATTTATATGCAATGCATGAATCATATACAAGGACACTTTAAAATTATTTGGGTGTAGGCCATGAAGTGTAAGGTGAAAAAATAATTTTTTCCTTTGAATTCTTCCAGTTCTGTTGAATTTCTAAAAGATTGATAAAAATTGTAATTAATAATAATACGATTTCATCGAACAAGAAGGTTACCTAATCATGCCTAAAAATTTTTTTTTCTTCATGTAGATCACTATGAATTCAACGTATTCGTTCCTTATAACTAAAACCCCTTTGTCAAGATCTCTGATACAATATAAATGCAAGTCACTATTATGAGCAAAAAAATTTCAACCGAAAGATAATAAGGTTACTCACATGCAAAGTTTCCTGTAATTCTTGACAAAAAACTTATTTATGGTTGTAGAGAAGTAGCTAAGGAACAAGCCACAATCTCTTGCTTACATTCATCGAACATCGTAAATATATTGATTTATTAAAACCTTACGTTTATAATTAAAATAACTTACTTGATCATTCATGTACCATGTTAAGTTAACTACTGGTCTGCTATAACTTGATGAGCAATTCAACTTCAAAACATCATCAACACGATATTTGCTTCTCAATCCACTTATAACGGGCCTTTGTAGAGGTAGCTCTGAAATAAACCATGAATTATTAGTATGACTGCTTTGAAAAAAAAAACCTTATAACCTATTGTTCATTGTCAAAATCTTACACAGTGCATATCTAAATACTAATGAAATGTAACTTGGGCTCGAAAAAAAAAAAATGTATTTATAATTTTTTTATTAATAATAACTCAAGACCCGAAAGTACATCTAACATAAATTCTTTAAAATATCACGTGTTTGTAATGTTTTCGTAAAAAATTCTCTAATTTTGTGTTTTTATACACGTATTTCATACATTTGAACATCTAGTCATTAATTTATGGTCACTTAAATAACTAGGAAGTAAGAAGACACTATCTAAATATAATCAATCTAAAACAATATAAAATAACCCTCATTTTGGCTAAGAATATGAAGTATATAGTATTTTAATATATTTAAAATAATAATGATAACCATTATATAATTATAATTATATGTGAAAAATAAAAAAGAATTTAAGTGTAATGTCAGTGCCTTGTACTATTTGGGTCAAAGCTTGCGCCTAATAACCCGAGACATACACTGGGCGCATACGTCAGGGCTAACGATTCGTTATAAGTACGTGGCAAGGTACTCAAACTTAAAATCGTGATTACCTTTTTCGACCCAAAAGAGAGCACAAATACTTTTGAGCGTGAGAATCAAATTTTAACGGCTTGGAGTGGCTGCTGCGTTGTATAACGATGCATTTATTTACGACACATCTAGAGATTGTCACTACAATCAGGAGTGATGAACAAAAGGTGTCTCGTTTCGCGATCTAGAAGCTACCAATACTATCGTGAGTAGAAAGGGTTACCCTGATTTTACGTATGAACAGACTATGTATTCATTTTTGTAGTCTAGATGCTACCAATACCATAAGAAGTAGTGAAGTAAACTCTAGAAGTTATGTTCGCTTCTAAAAGAAAAAAAAAGGTAAAAAAAATTCAATTCCCTTCAACAACTTATGCGTGTTTTTTTTTTTTTTTTTTGTTTAGAAAGCTGGACGGGAGGAAGCTTTTGAAAAAGACAATAGCTAAAAATCTAATTGGCTAGATCTGCTCAAGTTAAGCGACATAGAAATTGGCACTTTCCACATCTGGCTTGCTCTCCTACGTGTGTCAAGACAAGAGAAAGTGATTTAGTTTCTCATGATCTTACTGTTCTCTTTCACATTAGAATTTTTAAGATTTACCGTCATAACTTGTTATTAACATTAGAATTAAATGTAACTAATATTTAATAATGCTAGGTACTGTCCATTCATTTGACGAAACTTATTGCAAAAAAAGCCGTGAAAATTGCTTAAAATTTTGATTGAAAGCTTTGGTGAATAAATAGTTAATGTGCTCCGGCATATCAATTTACATGAATAAGATCAAACAGAAGCAGCAGTAGCCATTGCTATAAAACTTATAGTTATAGAATTAAAAAGAGAAACGGTAGTTATAATAACTGTTAAAAATAAATGAGCCTGGGAGAATAAATACTTTAAAAAGTATCTTCTACAATAGACTTAAATTAGTTATAACAAATATTTCGTATCAAACATGAGGCATTTTACCTCAGCATTGGTTACCTATTTACTAAAAATACGTTTCATTATCGAATGTATATCAATCACACGACTCGAGAGCTCCTTCGCATGCTAATGGCCTAGCGCTCCAGTGCCACGTGCGTAGTTTTAAATTTAAATACTTTCTAACAATAATAACAAAAAAAATCTAATAATGATAATGATTAAGATTATGATACTGATAATCATAAAAGTTATAATAATAAGGATAATAAAAACAATAGTATAATGCCTGACGCGAGTTAGCATAACAAGATTCACGGGCAGTTTTGACTGATTATAATGCTGCAACAATAATTTAGAATTTTCAGTAGAATTTTGGTACACTTACTTTTTACTGCTAGTCTTTAAGGGGAAAGTTAGGTTGTGATCCCTTAGAGAATCGGAAAGACTGTTACTCGTGTTAGAGGCCGTAGGACAGACGCTCTCTTGACATCTCTGAGTCAAAAAAAGGAAAAAGTGCTATGACTTTCTTGTTTTCTTTCACAGTTAAAAATGTAACAAAATTTGACCTGATTAAAAATTAGGTTATTATAGATTTCTTATAAAATTGATAGTATTATAAAAAAGTGTTACACGGTAAATCACGCTACTGCAAAAACAAATGGCAAAATTAAGATGATTTCTTGGAAGTTTATTAACGTTACCCTGTTAGATTTACCGTTGTTAAAATTTTTGTATCTTAGGAATAGCTGCTGCTTACTGCAGGCATAGCATATATGTATATATATATGTGTGATTTTTCTTATAAGTANTATACTTAAGATACGGAAACATATATATGTATATATATATATATATATATATATACATATATATGTTTCCGTATCTTAACTATATTTTTGTATTACCTCAGTCCAAATGTTTTGATTTTGATTAATTCCGGCGGTTAGTATTATTTTTCAGCATAGCTATTTCCAGCTGAGCCTTAAAATTTATTGGTTTCATTTTATTTATTCAAATACCAGATAATATAAGTTTTTCATTTCTAGTAATCATCGGCCATTGTACACGTGTGTGAATCATGTTTGGTCGTAGTACTACAGCTACGAGAAAAATTGCAGGTGATTAACCTCTTATCAGAAGCACGATAAACCCTGCCTAAAACCTTTTTTGAATCAGCATAGAAAATTTCAAAAGAATGAACAAAGAGAAAGTTTATTAGTAATTGCATTACCAATAGTTTACAGATATTACATTAAAAAAACTTCGAGTTAAGAATAAAAGTATGGTGTTAATGAAAATTCTTTCACGTATTTATTACTACTATCTAAGTGGTAAATATAGACTTTATATAAAGAAACAATTAACATTTATGAGTATAAATATTGATTTTGATAACGTAAATTACATTTATTAAACATAATGTAACTTTTATCGTATAAGGATTCAAGAGCTTTATCAACTTAAATTTTTAAATATAAGACGTCCAATGACAGTTGGTTAATAATTAAAATAACGTCCAATGGTGGTACTGTCAAATTTTGTATTCATTAAAAAGCAAAACGACGCTGACTACATTACGATTTTACATCCCCTTCGTAAGAGGCAGAGGTATATTATACACTTTACTTAATTTGCGTTTATAGTATTTATAAAAATTTGTATTGTAAAGAATTTCTTATTACTCATAGATCTTTGTACCTAATGAGGGCCGGAACATTGTCCAAACGGCCGAAACGTCGTTTTGTTTCTTAATAAACACAAAATTTGACAGTACCACCATTGGACGTTATTTTAATTAAATTTTTAAAATTTATATTAGAAGATTTGTAACAATATAACCAATAAATATATGAAGCTATCAAAAAAGCTTATTTTTAAAATCTATCTGACAAGGACTGCTTAAACCATTAAAAAATATTACGTCCAAACTTTTATAAGTGAAGGGCAGAACTCGTAGATTTTTTTTACAGACAAACAAATCAGGACCTAGCCGTCAGCCCAAAGGCCTTATTTGCTCCTACTTACAGTATTACTTTTAAATCGTTGATTTAGGGTTGTGGTATCATATTTCACCGAGCGATATGTATGTAGTGGTATGCGCCAAATTGGCGTTGACCTACTGTTTGAGTTTATGTCTTATGTCCTACGGTAGTATCGTATCTTGTACGTCTTTTTATCTCGCGTCCTTGTAAAGATCTTTGTCATACGTTGTCAATCCATTGGAATATTAAATCTTGAAATGTTTTATATAATTTAAATATTGGAATATTTTTGAATTTAGAAAGTGATTTAATCAACAACCAAGTTATGTCTAATCTGATGATTTAATAAACTTAAAAAAGCTGGAAATAGTTGATTTGACAAATAGTAGAAGTAATAAATTTTCAGATTCTAATTTACAATGTTTAAACAATTTATGGTTTTTCTTGACGTAACTTACTTTTATAATCGTTGGTTAGCCGCTGCTTCCACGCAAGAAGTCGCAAGATCTTACAAGGTTGACCGCAAAGATGATCCTGATTCTACACGAGAGTACTCGTGGCGATGACAATAATTAGGTTGCTGCTTTTAACGTTGGAACTTCAGTCAACGGTCCTTTTTTCTTTTTCCTTCTTGATTCACTTTTGAGGCGAGCTTACAGTGGCCTGGTTTCTCGAGATTTTCTCACACTGCTTAGTCACCGAACTAAGTCTTACATTTGGTTGAAATGCACGCTTTAAACACGTGTCTTAATAACCGAACTAAGTCTTACATTTGCTTTAAAGATGCAACAGAACTCACTCTTAAAACTTTACAGTTACTTCGAAGCACTTAATAAAAGAGAAAAGGCGAATATTGTTATGTGCAAGGAGTTTTTATACTCTTGCGTTTAAGAAAGACGCGTCAAGTTGGGGATCCAAGCGGCCTGTCAAAGCTTAACCTAATTCCTTTTGATCCCTACAAGCACAGTCGTGGTGCAATAATTACGCAGTAATTGATGGTTAAAACTGCTGATCTTTCGGATTTTCTATTAAGCACGAGTTGTTGTTCAAATTGTGTATGATATTTCTTGTGGACATGCGGAGTAAAGTATATTAAAATTGTTGATAATTTATATCCTTGAATGTATCACTGCGAATTAATGTCGTACGATGAGCACTTCATAAGATTGTTGGAGATTGCACGCGTAGTTAGAGTTTTGTGACGGTAGCTTGTTTCAGAAGTAGTAAGTTATATGTCACGCTATTGCAGAAGGAGCTGTATCGCTTGATGTTTCGAGACTGCTGGGCTTTGGAATTTTATAATTTAAAAATGAAACTCTGTATTTCGCAGTATTAAATATTAAATATATGACATGGGATGTTACGAAGACAAACTTTATGTTGCTTTATTTTATAAAAAAAAATGTACTCTAAATTATGTAGAACTAATTTTATAAAACTAATCACAGAATCTTTGATTTCGTTTCTAATGTGTTTCTGTTTTATAAAATCTTGG